GAAGACAAGATCTTTATAATATTCCAGCTTTATTTCTTGCATAATATACTGGTATACAGTAGAAGATTATGATACAGCTATACCCCGGACTAGTTTCATTCCTTTCTCCTCCTCCTTCACTCCTCTAAGCAGGGATGATTTCAGTATGGATGATTGCCTAAAAATTGAAAGGAACAGAAAATAAGAAAGTTTTGAACACAGCATTCTTCTGGCTGATAATTTTACATTTGAAATTATTCTGAAGCACATTTAAATGAAGACTAATAAGGGCTGTCACAGCTAGGTGATGAAAGAACATCTGCTGAATTTGCTGTTCAGACACATGTTCTGAATATCTGCTTCACTTGCTATATTTATTTTCTCTGACAATGGGCTGATGGAGCTATCTGGAAGTATAGAAGACGGAGAGCACTGAAATGGAGGCCTTATCATAACTCATGAAGTGTCTTGAAATGTGAGCTGCAGTTCTGTCACTGGATCTGGTGGTATCAGGGAGAGAGCTAGAAATGGCTGTAAACAATAGCTTGCTGGTTCTGTATCAGTAATGGTTCCTGTTGTGAAGTGCACTGAGAATTAGACTCATAGACTTTAAGGCCAGAAGGAACCATCGTGGTCGTCTAGTCAGATCTCCTGCAAATTGCAGGCCACAGAACATCAGCTACTCCTGAAATAGACGCCTAACCTCTGGCAGAGTTACTGAAGTCCTCAAATCATGGTTTAGAGACTTCAAATTACAGAGAATTCCCCATTTACATTAGTTTAAACCTGCAAGTGACCCTTGCCCCATACAGCACAGGAAGGCAAAAAAAAAACCCCAGGCCAGTCTGACCTGAAAGAAAATTCCTTCCCAACCTCAAATATCTGTTGTCTCACTCCTTTCTGCACAATAGTATGTGTAAGCAGAAGGGAAAACAGGTTCTAATACTTGTATGGGTATCCTTAGACACCAGCTCAGGTTTGCAGCACAGATGAAAGCATGAAATCTCACATGGATTACACACTGCTTTTCCTTTTACTATCAGCTTAATTGTGGAGGGACAATATGTTGTTAAAAAAGGCCTCTGAAACCATATGCATCAACACGATGAGGGACTCCATAAACTTACTGTCAAAACCAATGTTGGATTGCAAGTTTTAAATTATTCTTTGTTGGTACTGACCCTCACGTTACAAAATGCTCATATGGTCATCAAAGTCTGGAACTGTAGCATACGCAGTATGCGTAGCCTTTTGAAGTTAATCAAACTTGCATTTCTGAAGGGCTCTGTGTGATCACACTGAGTTGCTTATGAGAAGATGACTTTCCCATCTGTTCTACAACAGTCCCTAAACTCTGGGCAGGATCAAAACTCAACCATCTTCTTGGGCTTCAACTTTATATTATCTTATTGCTTAGATGTCTGTTAAAGTCCAGTCCTTGCTTAGGACTGCTCTGCCTACCACTTAGATCTTCTCATCTCAGACCCAAGATATCTCTCTCAGGGCAGACCCATTCAGAAGCACTTCCTCCTTTTGTTTGTATTCACTCCAGCTGCTGGGCCCTCCTTGCTTACTTGAGATAGCTGGCAGGTAGTTGTGTTCAAAGTTGAGTTGTTGGCTCCTATGTGCTGAGGCGCCACCATGGAGTGAGACCCAGAGTCACCTGCAGGTGACCTTTTTTTTTTAGTGTTTGGTTTAAAAAAAAAAAAAAAGCTTTTCAGTAGTGTTATTTAATGTATTTATTTAATTTTAGCTTGGGGCATTGAGTTACTCTTAGTTTCAAGTCATCATAAAGGCAACATTTTAAAATCATGAACCTGCAAAATAGAATTGCTCTTACTTTGTCTCCAAAACTCCACAGCTTTATGCACAAACAGGTATTTGCACAGGTAAATTGAGTATTTGAGCTTGCAAACAGATAGGCACATTTCTATTGTGCATAAATATGAGTTCCTGCAAATGCAATGGATATGCATGTAACTGAAAATATAGGGGCTTTAGTGATAATAGAGCTCAGGATATCTGTGCTGCTGCATATTAATGTCATGTATATTAAATCTTATAGGCAGCAGATGGTACTGGAGCTTGCATCTGTCAAATAATTTAATGGAACCTTGTCAACAGGGAAAAAAGAGTTTATTGATTGCAGCAAAAGACAAAGGAGCATCTTAACTGTCAGAGTAGGGACCACTAGAGTGTATGTTAACATTGCCGTTACTAATTAAGGAGAGACAGTGTGGCCTAGTAGACAGAGCATTAGACTGGGACTCAGAGGACCTGGACTCTGTTCCTGGCTCTGCCACTGGGTCTACTGGGTGGGCTTGTGAAAGTCACTTCACCTTTGCATGCCTCATTTTCCCCCATTTGAAAAATGTTGATGATACTGACCTCCTTTTGTAAAGTGCTTTGAGATCTACTGATGAAAAGCACCATGTACTAGGTGGTGGTATTATTATTAATTATTATTATTATTTATTTGTCTTCAAAATAAGACTCTCTTGTCTTGTACAGATCTTCATTAAACTGATCTTCTAATGGTCTCCAACCTTTTAAGCTAGAACAGAAGTTCTCTGATTGTGATTTGTGGAGTATCTGGCTGCTCTTGGTGAGAGCTTCTTCTTCATATATCCAGCAACTAAATTATATTAAAAGAAAACAAAGTGCATAGTGCTTCCCAATATCGCTTGCTGGAGTTGCCACATGGGTGTTCTGCAATAGGAAAGGAGGAATCTACAAGACACTCTGTGGACCACGAAAAATTTGAGAGCTCCTGAGCTAGAAGTTGGCGCCCCAGTAGCACCTTTGCCCAAAACAAATAAAGTAGCACAAAAAACAAATATTTTCATGCATGCTTTTAAACTTACCAACTTAAAAAAGTCACGAACAAGCTTTCTTTATACATGTCCATTCTTCACTGAGGACTGTAAAAGAAACCAAGCTTGATATTTCTGCGTAAGGTCCTGCCCCCAATCTTTCTTGTTCCTCAGCCATCTGCATTCAATACAGGCTGTTTTTCCTTTTGCCTGCATGCTGCCTAGGTGCCAGCAGCAGGATAAATGAGAGCTCAGGAGAGAGAGTTTTCCTGCTCCCAGCTCCTTTACCCACCACCACAGTAATCCCTGGCAGCCAGGAGGAGCAGTTGCAGGGGAAGTCCTGCTTAGCCCTGCAGCCTTGGGGTGGAGCATTCTAGTCACTTGGTGGGGGTAGTGCAGATACAGTTGGCACATAAGATCTGTGAGGGGAGGGAGAATGCTCAGTTCTGAGGGACTCTTCAAAGAATTTAGTGGCTGAACTCTTTTAAGCCTATACTGAGCACGAGTGAACTGAGATTTTTTCAGAAGCTTATAACTTTCGCAAATTTAAGCGAATTTTCATTGGGATAGCACAAGGCATAGCCCTAGCACCAAGACAAACTTTCTGCCAATTTGCAGGCCCCTGTTCCAAAGCATTAGTTTCTGAACAAAACAGCTATGGGTTGTTTTTTTTTTAAAATATGTGCAAAACAATGTATTTTTTTTCCCCTAACCTTATTCTGAGAAATGGCTGAAGCATTTATCTGATGCTTCCTCAAAAATTGAGCCTAAGGCAGACACTTGACATGGAAAATTTCAGCCCAGATGGTTAGTTTGAAGTTATAACTGGAAACAGAGAAACTGGAAACGGAGAATAATCAAATGTGTTAGGCAAACTTAACTATAGGCATTGCTACCTATAATATATATATAGAGAGAGAGAGAGAGAGAATTGTCATATCTCCTTTCATTAAGGAGAGGTCAGAGAAAAGTGGAAATACAGAATCCGGCATGTGAATTCATAAAGTAGCTGTATGAGGCTATGATATCATAGGTGTACCTATGTTATGAGGCTGTGTGTGCTAATCACTTCTTGGTTACTTGCAGGCTACCTGTCAGAATGTGCAATGGCAACATTGTAGAAAAGGTCTAACAAGCTGATGCTTTCAGAATTAAAACCTGCACACTGTTTTCCCTGCTCAAGCTGGTCAAGGCCTGCTTAAAGCACTACAGCTAGCTTTCCTATTCTCTCTGACAAACAAATGATGAAAGACAAAAGCAAACAATTTAAGCACTCTGGGTCAAATTGTGGGTTATGTGGGCTGAGCAGCTTTGAAATAGAAAGAGTAAACAAAGCCAAAATAGCAGAAATTGGAGGCTAACGTTCGCCATTCATTGACATACAGCCTTAAAAAATAGTGAGTGTCCAGCAGACAAGTGGTTGGCATCTAAAGGGAAGTTTTGTGCTATATCTGCATCATACTGTTCAAAAACTGTAGGGAGAATGTGATGGAGAAACACCATAAAGTAATACTGAATCCTTCTGCATTAAGCTTCACTGTGGTGTCTTCAAGGAAGACAGTAGAGTCAGACATGATCAGTACACCTGAGAAATGCATTCATCTCACACGTCCCCAGAAAATGTCTCCAGTTTGGCCAGAACAGCAGCCTGTGCTAGTATCAGGGAGCAGGGATGTAAAAGGTGACAGAAAGAGGGACAGGTTGTGGCAATGCAACGTGGCTACAGCTTCCCCTTCTGGGGAGGTGAAAGGGCTCAGTGCTGTTCAAAAAGCAGGTACCATTAGCCAATAAGCAGCTTGGAATCCCCTAATGGAGAAAAGGATGAAGCACCTGCCAGTGAAATATCAGCGGAGTCCAGGAGCACAAACACCATCTCCCCTGCATGGGGTGGTCACACACACACGCACCATAAGGCACAATGATTGCTCTAGCTGTGTGACTGGCGCAAAAGGGTGTGTTCAAAACCTACCTGCACTAGCTTGGCTGAATTTGGCTCCTTGGTTTTTTGACTTCCCTTACAATATTCTCAACTTTAATGTTGTATTTGTGTTAGCTTTTGTATCTAATCCAGCCATCTAGCTAACACAAGCGAGCTGATATTTGTATATGTGATTCTTACCAGAACACTTGCACTCTCTTCCTTTGTAACTTCAGAGGTTCTCTAAGCTGTATCTAATTTGCTTCCCACTGTTTTTCTCCTCTCCTTAGAACATTGTGGCAGTGGGAGCCGGGTTTTGTGATGGCCTTCGCTGTGGTGATAATACCAAAGCTGCTGTTATTCGACTTGGCCTAATGGAGATGATTGCTTTTGCAAAAATCTTTTGCAAGGGACAGGTGTCTGTTGCCACTTTCCTGGAGAGTTGTGGAGTTGCTGATCTGATCACAACGTGTTATGGTGGCCGCAATCGGAGGGTGGCTGAAGCATTTGTTAAAACTGGGAAGGTATTGTACCAAGGCCTGTCTTCGTCTCTGTGTGATGGCTAGCATTGCAGAAATCTATGTCATAGGAGCACTAGGTTCAGTGCTGACTTGTTACTATAATACTGTGGTTATACTAGTCACATTGTAATTAGTTAACATAGTCTTGTCTCCCCGCCTTTTGTCCTTTAGTGTGTTACCATAGAGACAGTGTTGCAAAGCTAGAATGAATGAGACAGTTCCAAAGAGAAGGAGAACTGGAGGTAGGGAGTAGGGGAAAGAGGAAGTTTACACACAGGCATGTAGGTAATTACCATTATGAAAACCATGGACTGCTTTTGGAGGAAGTGTTAGGATTCTTCAATGACACTAGCCAGCTTCTCCCATCAAGTCTTCCATGCATCTTAATACTCATGTTGAGTGACTGTTCATTTAAGATTTTAGTTCTACCACCCTCAGCTGGGCAAACTTTGGGAGCTGTCTCCCCATGCTGAAGCAGTAGTGTCATCCAGGAGAGGAGAAGACCCTTATCAGGGCTTAATAACCTTCTTATTCTTCATAATATTCTTCAAAATGGTGTCTTAGGTTGGAAATACCTTGTCATGATTAACCTTTTTTTTATTATTTTTAAAATACTGTTAAGTCCATTGAAGAACTGGAGCAAGAAATGCTAAATGGCCAGAAATTGCAGGGACCACAGACTTCGGCAGAAGTATATCGTATCCTGAAGCAGAAAGGAATGGTGGATAAGTAAGTAAGAGGACATGGGGCATTTATTTTGTTTTGTTTTGCCCTCCATTTTTTCACTCTTTGTTTTTTGATCATTGTGAGACTTTTGCTTTTATGTTCAGGAAACAAAGTGAAATGCTGACAAAGTGACTTAAACCCCAACAAAATGCATACATTTTAAAACAGCGAGATTAATGTGACTATAATATATATACTAGAACTAATGGTGTGGGAGCCTATATTTAAACTCTGAATGCTCTGCAATTTAATCCTCCATTTACTCAGAGATATCTTGGTGATCCCATCTGCCCTAGGCAGGAATAAGGTAATGTAGGAGAGGAAGTGCCCTAGGTTTTAACATGGAATTTCCTAATCATATGGTTTGCACCCATGGAAATTCCCATGGAGATAGGAATGGTACTTCCTTACTGCGCAGATCTCAGGGATGCCCCTTGCCTCAGCTCTGCTGCCTTTTCCTACTGGCTCTTGCCTACCTCTGAACGGCATGACTCTTGCAGGAGCCTTGTTTCCATTCACTTCCCCTCCCATGGGCTTCGCCTGGGTTGTCCTCCTTATACACGCTCCTCCAGGGTTGGGTTATGCAATGCGGACCAGAAAGCAGCATAAATTAATAGAGCCAAAAGCAGGGTGGTTGGGGTTTTAGCAGGGTAGTTGGGGGTTTTTTTTGGTTTTTTGGTTTTTTTGTTGGGGGTGGAAAGAGGTGGGGGGAAAGAATCCTGAGGAGCCCAGCTGGTTCCCCTCCTCTCTCCAGATTGGTAGAGTTGGAGTTCCCATGAATGGGCTTCCATGGAGTCACGAGTCCGTGGAAGACTGCCACGGAGGCAGAATGTGGAAGAGAGCATGGGGCCATGAGTACAAGTGTCTGAGGATATGGCCTAGGAGGCATAGTGGCATGTTTGATTTGTCTTTGCCTAGTTTTGACTTGGTTTTAATCTTTTCCCAGAATAATCTTGAGTTTCTCATAAGGGAAGTATTTAGTTTTTTGACACATTTTGTAGACATTCTTGATGACTTGCCTAGAATAATTGTCCTGGTGACTATTGTTCTGTTAATTGCTGCTGGTTATAATTCAGAAATGAAGATTTGTGGCTACTAACAGAGTAAGAATAAAGACAAAATTGGTATCTTTCTGAAATTGGCAGGGTGGGGTGGGTGGGTGGGAGGGATACTTCTGAACTCAGGGCCTCCTCCTGTGAGGTGCTCAGCATCTTTCATGGTCTTGCTAAGTGTCCTTACCTCCCAACAACTTCACTAGGAGTTAATGGTGTTCAGCACCTTGCAGGGTCGGGCCATAAGAGAAAAGCTGCATCGGTTTAACAATGCTTGGTCCAGGTTGTAGTCTCTGGAATGTACCATAGGTAAAACCTATTGACCCTATTCAATCAACTATGTTTCTGCATCGGCTGTTTGGCCATTGATTTGTACAGTTTAAGAGTGCTTATTCCAAATCACTTAAATGAAACTGCATACAAAAATTGTAAGGTATGTATAAAGGATGGCAGCTCAGTGCTTATACAGCTTGACAAATCAAAAAGGAAAATATGGCATCTAGTATATTGATTTTTGTTGTTTGCTAGACAATAGAGGATCTGAAAACTTCTGAGGCAAAATTCCACCATTTAATCCATATTCACAACTGCCCCAATAGCCTGCCTACAAAACTGGTTGATGTACTTCTGAAGCAATGGTAGGGACTCAGTTTCAGGTTCTCTTCAGTACATGATGCATTAGTTCACTCTTCATTGCATTCCAATAATTTACCAGTGAGAACTCCCTGATGCGGAAGAGAAATATCTTATCTGCATAAGATTATAACTCTCACAGGGAAGCTAATAAACAAGGGAATTGTTTGTCAAGCCTGATGTATCTTCTTGTTAGTTTCATGTATAACTTAAACATATAAGCAAGCATTTACTTAAGGTCTGTGTTAACTCACAATATTGCAGAACTGTAAATAAACAATAAACTAGAATATAAAGCTGAGCGTCTTAATAAACCCTGTAGCTCACGAAAGCTTATGCTCAAATAAATTGGTTAGTCTCTAAGGTGCCACTAGTACTCCTTTTCTTTTTGCGAATACAGGCTAACACGGCTGCTACTCTGAAACTTAATAAACCCTGTAAACAGAAAGACCGTCCAGTAGCTTTCTTGCTGGTAAAATTTGTTGCTTATCTCCAAGGAAAAGGAGCCTTGTTACTAAAATTCTGTTTAACTGACCAGCTGTATGTAGTGGCTGCTTTCATCTCATAGATGGGTCAGAAGCATGGATAGTAGCTTTGATATTGTGGTTCTCTTTCCTTTGTGACACCTAGTTTACGGTAAAATAGAATCATCTAACTTAGTATTTCCTGGTACAAAACAAAGCAGGTTCTCCTGATGTCATTTATTCAAGAGATTCTGCATGTGCGTGATTCCTAAAGCCATATGTAGACTGTGTTTAGTAAGACTTGGAATGTGTTTTCTTCAGCTCTTCCTTTTTCGGATGAGGCAAAATCACAAAAATGAACAGTTTCGTCAGTTGATTGGCAGTCCCTTTTAAAAATTATTTTTGGCAGTTTTTAAAGTGCAGTTTTTTTCATGCACCATCTGCTTTTCTATGTTTTAGTACTACTTCTAAAAATAAGGCACAGAAGTCCTATCTCTGCAATGTATGCACAATTAAGCTGGTTGGGGGAAGAAAGCTGTTTAGAACAATCGCTTTCAATAGTTACTGTTTGTAATGCTCTCTTAGACATCTTCAAATAAGTTATTTTTTTATTTTTCTGCTTTTCCGTTTGGCAAGTACAGAGCTGAACACAGCAGGTTTTTTTTAATCGAGATGACATGAAGTAGGCTATTGTTTATTTCTCTGCTTTTGTCCTCATCCTAAAGGGTAGTTTTAAAAACTCATGCAAATTTTTGCTGGATGATACTGTCATTCTTGGACACTTGGGTGTAAAATAGTATTTTTGGATTGTGTCAGTTAGCGAAGTTATTTCCAGCTGGTTACTATACAGACCCCCTTCTCAATTCTCACTATTGCACCTAGTGGAAGCTGAATGATCCTATTTTAAGGGCATTGGCTTTTTAATCTAATCTTCAAACATTTGCTTAAAAACTGTGCAGTATACTCTGGTGCTTTTCAAAAAATAAAAATTTAAAACATAGGGTTGAAAGTCTAGTAAGGGTAGTGTGATGGGTTGCATCACAGAAACCCCTTGGGGGCTGCCAACTGATGTGCCAAGACTACTTCTGCCCCTGCCTTCCCTGCCAGTTTGGGACCTCAGAACCCTGCCGCGTTTTGCCAGACACACTTGCCGGCCACAAACACAGACCCACGTCTGAACCACATCCCATAAACTGCAAGCTTAACTGAAAGCAGCTTAAGAAGTGTTCCTGTCTTTAACGCTCAGATGCCCAACTCCCAATGGTATCCAAACCCCAAATAAATCCATTTTACCCTGTATAAAGCTTATACAGGGTAAACTCATAAATTGTTCACCCTCTATAACACTGATAGAGAGAGATGCACATCTGTTTGCCCTTCCCCGCCCCCCGAGGTATTAATGCATACTCTGGCTTAAATAATAAATAAAAAGTGATTTAATTAAATATAGAAAGTAGGATTTAAGTGGTCTCAAGTAGTAACAGACAGAACAAAGTGAATTACCAAGCAAAATAAAATAGAACACACAAGTCTATGCCTAACACAGTAAGAAAACTGAATACAGATAAAACCTCACCCTCAGAGGTGTTCCAGTAAGCTTCCTTTTACAGACTAGTCTCCCTCTAGTAGTCTGGGTCCAGCAATCACTCACATCCCCTGTGGTTACTGTCCTTTGTTCCAGTTTCTTTCAGGTATCCTTTGGGGGTGGAGAGTCTGTCCCTTGAGCCAGCTGAAGACAAAATGGAGGGATCTCCCCAGTGTTTAAATAGACTTTCTCTTGTGGGTGGACACCCCTCCCTCCCCCTGTGTAGAATCCCGGCTAAATGATGGAGTTTTGGAGTCACATGGGCAAGTCACATGTCCATGCATGACTCAGAACTTACAGGTAGCAGCCATGGTTCACATGCTACCTTGAACGTCCTCAAGTAGGCTTCTTATGTGGATTGGAGTCTTTCAAGATCCATTGTCTGTTAAGTGCTTCTTGATCGGGCATTTAACTTGCACATTCCTTTCTCAAGAAGCTGACCAGTGTTTACTAAGGCTACTTAGAAATCAAGCAAGTACACAGCCAATATTCATAACTTCAAACACAAAAATGATACATGCATACAAATAGGATTAATAGATTCAGTAGATCATAACCTTTACAGAGATATGTTACATGGCATATGTAGCATAAAACATATTTCAGTTATGTCGTATATACATTTATAAGCATATTTTCATAAAGCCTTATGGGGTGCAACATCACTGGTAGAATTTAGGCCTCAATCCTGCAAACTTCTATGCAGATGCATGGCTGTTTGTCATATGGAGGCTTGTAGATGTCAGTGATACCCAACAGAGAGAGATGCACTTTGCAGGATCAGCATGTATATTTACAGTGTAAGTTGGCTATAGAACTCTTCATCTGAAAGGTAGTTGCAGAACTAATCCCTTTAATGTTCCCAGATGCACATTTCACATGTAGTATACATGCTTTTCCTGCCTCTAGTATTGTTGTCACCATTAACTTAAGCATTGTCATTTTTTCAGTAAAGTGCTTCTGAATTGTGCTCACAGAAATATTCTCTGTGATGGAGAGCAGTAAGTTGGTATTAAAATGTTGTTTGAAACAATGGTCCCATCTTAAATCAAGCAACTTCTCTGAACAGCCTGATAACTAGCAATGCAATACCTGTACCCATCTGAAGCTTACTTTTGCTTCATACAAGTACAATATGTCTTGTGCCCATCTCTAGAAATGATCACACAAACAGACATTCCTATGTCAATTTTAGGCCTAACATTTAAGATTTAATATTTAAAAACAAAAATCCCTTAAGGCCAACAGAATTCTTTTTTTTTTTTTTTTTTTATTCCTACAAAAAGTTTTGCAATGATTTTAAACATTCTGTTGTGGTGCTTGCAGCTTAAACACTGTAGCCTTTCAGATCTAGAAAGTGAAATTGACTAGGTCTGTTTTCATTATCCACACTGAATATAAAAATAAATAGGTTTAGGATTTTTAAAAATTCTTTGTTTTAATAGTCCTTTAATGTCAGTAAAACACACATGGAAGTTTTATTTTTGAAAACGTGGCCAACTTAAAAATAAATAAATAAATAAAAAGTCAGGCTCCTATTTATTTTAAGGATCCTAAAACCCATACTTACCTGTAGACTTTTACATTTGAAAATCTTGGTCTATGATTTTTAATCTGATGGGATCTCTGAAAAATTTGTGGTATCCTAATTTTTTTTTATACTTGATCATTATTTGAAAGGTTGATCTTTTCTGTTTGTAGCTGAGCGTGTGGTAAGATGATTGCGAAAAAAATAGTGGCAAGCATTTGTTTTCATTTGTGAAATAAATGAACTGTCAAGTTATGCATAACAATGTTGCAGGATCCAGTATGGCTTGATAATGATTAGGCTTTTGAGGGTCTGAATGTATGTAGGTATTGTATAGATTCTGCACTCATCATCATAGCATGAGTGCCTTGTAAATTCCAAAAGAAACACACAGATTCTCAGGTGCTCTCTTCTCTACCTAACAAGACATTATAGATTAATCTTATGTTGCTTTTTTCTTTTCTTTGCTAGGTTTCCACTGTTCACTGCTGTATATCAAATCTGCTATGAAGGGAAACCTGTTCAAGAAATGATATCCTGCCTTCAGAGTCATCCAGAGCATATGTAAAATGAATTGTGCAATTATACTAATGCAGCTTCCGCCTTTCAAATTCATATTTGGGTTCAAGTGGATGTAAGCATAAGCTTCATAAGAAGCTGCACATTAGGCAACCATGTGAATGTATATGAATTTCTGTAGTTTTTTGGACACAATTTAACATTGTAATGTACTGTCATCTTGGTGTCTATCATTTTACTGGCTAAAAAGCAGGTGTTTTAAGATATACAATGCAAAACTTGCACTATATATATATAGTATGCATAAAAATATGGATGCATCTATTGTATTTCTACAGTACAAGATACAAACAACATTTAGTAATCTTTCATTCTGAAATTCCTCTCTCATTAAAGACCCAATCCAGTGCACACTAGAGTCAATGGAAAGAATCCCATTGGCTTCAATGGGAATTGGTTTGGGCCCTGATAGCCCCAGTAGTGTAAGCTATGTCTACTAAACTTGATTTTATTCTGTAATACACATCAAGACTTTTTACATGTTTGCATGCTTTTTGGAGATAGTCATTTTAAGCAATATTAATGAAAAGCTAGTTGTAGCAGTTATTCAAGGAGGGAGCAGTGGAATAGCATTTTAACTAACTGCGTTTAACAGTATCATATGATTTTTAGACAGTCTCAAAATATCAGACTAGTTTAAATCAATTTTTAAAGGGTATTTAATCTTTTAAGTGTAACATATTTTAAAAGGGTACATTACCTCCCCCTCAATTTTTATCCCTTTCTGCTTTTATTTTTGTATTTCTGCATTTCTATCTTTCTCTTGCTGTTTCCAGGTATTAAGCTGTTCTAGAATTCTATTAGGAAGGACAAGCAGAAGGATTTTACCAGCACAGACTCTAGTATAGGGGCCCTGAGGTTCATTCATGTGCTGTGTGATTCCATTTATTTTATTTTAGGCCCATTCTTGTGCTAGCCGCTGCCCAAAACTGTCACGCTCTTCTAGCTTAACCTTCAGCTGCATACCACACATGGAGGGATTTCCCAGTACTTCAAGTTTGTGTTGTCTGTTGTCAAATGAACTGTGCTCCTTTATGCTAACTGCATCCATTTCAGTGCCTGCCAGTGACTGATGTGTCAACTGTTCTCTATTGACTTGATCCAACTTCTACTGAAGTAAATGAAAAAGTTCCCATTATTTAATTTGAAAGACTCTTGTGGGGATTGGATCAAGCCTTTTCTGACCAATCTGTCTGAAAGCTTCTCAGAGGCCAGGCTGCCTCTCTCTGTTCCCTTTAAGGAAGGAGGGACTGGAAAGGTTATGGGGGAGGTCAATTTGAATGCTTCTGTTGCACAACTGTTGGGGTACTGCTGGAATATCCTTTGTAGGAACATTTTGAGGAAAGGTGGGGGGATGGATGGATCTTTCTGGCCCATGAGTTTATTTTGTTTAAAAGAAAAAATGAAATCTAGCCTTAAGGATCAGGCGTATGGCTAGGCATGTGAAGGGACAACCCATAGTTGAGATCAGAGGAATAAGGTTTGTCTAGAGACTAATAGAAGCCAGCACTGAGCTAATAAGAGAAGTATCTTGCTGTTTGGAATACAGACTCCTAATCCCTGAGCAAGATATGGATTGATCACTACTTGCTGTTACCAGCGGTGTTGTTTACAGGCCAAGAGCTTTGAGCATGAAATCTTTATGAAGCTTTAAGATGTCAAGGTATAGGCTTAGGAGTATCAGTCACCCTTGCTTAAAGTGCATTATATAGCTTTGGATATTTTTTACTCTGAAATAAGAAAGAGCAGTAAGGCACCTTCATGTAAACAAAAAAATATTTCCGAACAGGGGCTGGCATTTTGCATATGCCAAACCAACCATTATGTTTTAAATTATTTTTAGAAGATCATGTGAATGTCTACAGATATGCAGGGCTACAAAAGATCATTTTATTGGGGATGTTTTGCCTTATTTTTCTGAACATGGTGCTGAATAATGGAAAAGGTTGGGGTTAGTTTGAAATGTATGGGGCAGTGGGATTTTGAGAATTAAAATCTCTGATAGAACTGATCTGTGAGAAATTTGTGCTCAGCCCATTTAAAGAACATTTTAGTAGTTGGAAACATTGATATATTAACGCACATATGAAACATACACTCCCCATTATAGCATAACTCGCAGTGGGTTTGCTTATGTTAAATTATATTTTTAAAAAATCCACCAAATTGGGTGGATTTGACTTTGTATTTTATTTTTACATATAGTATGTAGAATAATACAATTTTGTAAGATACATAAAGGGCTATATAAGCTAAAAGTGGTGAATTATATGTACTGTAGGATGGGGTATTTTTTTTTTTTTTGTTTGTTCTCATGCTCTTTCCTCCACTTAAGGAGTTGAGCATTTTTAGATCTCGTTTTTTATGTAAACCCAGTCAGTGACAGAGCCAGAGGGAGGTTTGTTTATTGAATCATTTTCTCAAATCTACAATCCACTCACTTCCCCAATAAAATGCAAAACTTCTATAATTAAGGAATTTATCTTGTTTTCATTTCTGTCGATATTTATTATTCCACCATTTCTATTTCTTTGTCGTTGTTGCTTGAGAACTTTTGGCTTGGCATTATTTTTTTCATTAATATTTACTACTAATTATGATACTGTGAGATATATATATAGATAGATAGATAGATAGATATAATCCGCACTAAAGGATAAGGGACCAGTTTTGTGAACTCTCTTTTGCTTGCTACTGGGAGTAGTCCCGTTAAAGACACTCTGCCCAATAGTAAGTTGTTTTTTTTCAGGATCAGGTCCTAAATTTGTATCTTTCTTGACTAACTTATGAACTATCACTAAAAATCACTAAGGGAACTGCATTCAGTCTTCTAATACACCTCTACCCCGATATAATGTGACCTGATATAACACGAATTCGGATATAACGCAGTAAAGCAACGCTTTTGGGGGACAGCGCTGCGTGCTCCAGCGGGTCAGCGCATCAGCGTTTCTGGCTCTGACACGCTGCTCTGAGTGGCGTGTTAAGGGTGCCGGGCCGGGGCCGAGGGTTGGATAAGGGGCAGAGGGTCTTGGGGGGCGGTCAGAGGACAGGGAGCAGGGGTTTGGATGGTTCGTAGGTTCTGGGGGCAGGGCGATCAGAGGACGGGAAATGGGGGTGTTGGATAGGGCGTGGGAGTCCTGGTGGGGCCTGTCAGGGGGCGAGGGGGTGGATAGGGGTTGGGGCAGTCAGGGGACAGGGAGCGGGGGTGGAGGGTTGGATGGGTCGGGGATTCTGAGGGATCAGTCAGGGGCAGGAAGTAACTATTAATAAAGGAAATGCTCAAGGCCAAAGCAAGTTCAATATAACGCAGTTTCACCTAGAACACGGTAAGATTTTTTGGCTCCTGAGGACCACGTTATATCAGGTTTGAAGTGTACTACCTAACTAGCCCATTACACATGTACTGTATTGTTTAAGGATTGAAAATGGATACCTCTTTGGAAGCTTAGTAGAATAAATATTTTGTCTTGGAATCACTTGTTTTTAGTATTCATTTTTTATCACCAAGCTTTCTTTCTCTTGTTGACGCTAAAGATGTAATCAGGATAGATATCTGAGACTGCCATACAAGGGGCTAGAGCAGTTTACTGATTGTCATCTAAGCATCAGTGTTTTCATTTATTGTTTTGCTAACACAGTCTTGAGTCGGGCCAATCAAATAAAACAAGATGTTCTCTGTGGTATGAACTGCATTATCGTCTTCAGTTCATATAATGATCGTGTCATCCACTAGAGGTCGCTGCTGCACAAAATTCTACATGGTCTGCCGTAGATTGTGTGTTTTCTCTTTAACATTTCCTTGAAGCTCTTAAGTGCCTTGTGCAAATAAATTCTCCGTTATTGTCTTACTTGTTGTTTGAGGTTGAGGAGGTGCACAGTTTCACCACCATGTCATGCAGCATAGAATGGATGAATCTACTGGAGGTGAAAGGAGAAGCTTGCCAATATAATTGACATCCCACAAAAACAGCTAAGGCCCCTCCATCCAAACACTACTCAGCTGACACCTTCTCACCATAACATGTTTGGCCCAGGACAGCAGTTGTACTTATGTCATCCTGTGACAATCCTTTGCCGGGTGGGGAAAAAAGGTCCTATTAGAATTAATGCTGATCCTGCCCTCATTAACTGTGTCACAGTTTTACCGTGAACTTTCTTCCCAGTTGGAGATGGCTCACTTACAGGCAGGGAGGCAGTGGCAGCATAGCTCCTAATGAAGTTGTACTCACCAGTGTGATGAGAGGGGAGTGGGCACAGGGTCTTTCCTTGATTTCTGGACAGCTCTGTGATGCATGGGCCCCCACACCTTGAAAATCCCATGTCACTTGGTGGGATGAGTCAGGAACTAAATCTTATCAACTCATGGAATTTCCTACTTAATGTTGCCCCTCCTGTGAGTTTTCTGAACAGGAGGATCCAGCCTCACAGTGACAATTTACACTATGACAGGTTTCAGAGTAGCAGCCATGTTAGTCTGTATTCGCAAAAAGAAAAGGAGTACTTGTGGCACCTTAGATTTGTTAGTCTCTAAGGTGCCACAAGTCCTCCTTTTCAATTTACACTATGATGCATGGAAACACTGGCATTAACAGGAATGTAGGTTTCTTCAGCAAACAAAATAATAGCTCAATCTTATAGCACCTTTCATCCATAGATCTCAAAGTGCTTGACAAAGGAGGTCGGTATCATTATCGGGGGGGGAAACTGAGGAGCAGAGGGGAAGCGACTTGCCCATTGTCACCAGAAGGCCAGTGGCAGAGCTGGAAATAGAATCCCGGTCTCCTGAGTCTTACTTCTAAGCTCTATCCACTGGGCCCCATTGCTGTAAAGCCACTGGCCATTTTCTGGTAGACAACACTGAGCGAGCATTTTAATCAAAGGTTCAGAATGGTGTGACTACTTTTTTTGTTTTTTGAAAGGGTGCCTGAGACTAATTGGTAAAACCAATCTCCATATATCCAGAAAGCATAATCCAAGTACAAGGGACCTTCTAATTACAGGGAGGCTAGGTGCATAGGAAGGCAGAAGCCACAGCAGAGAGTTAGACTGATAAATATATTTTTCTATAAATGTCATGTTCCCCTGGTTGGTGGCTAAGGGGGTGGTTGTTTGTTTATCAGCCCTTGTAAATCAGCTCAGGTACCTTTTTATTTGTCTCCGTGTAAATAATCTGGGTGCTGACCCAAGGACATGAAACATGGCAACCAAATTACAGATCTAAAATTCATGCAGATACCCAATGTGACAAATGAAACAGCAGCCTCAGTTTTCCTGCTCTGCTGCTTATTCATAGCATTCCCATCTTTGCATAAATAAATAATTCCCCCCTTGGATTTTATTTCAAGTTGGCAATCATGAACCAAGTCAGCAGACATTGCAGTTTGTCTTTAATGGAAAATAAAAAACATTCTCCCCAATATATACAGCATTTGTTTTCTGTTGGAAGAAATTGAAAAATTACCTTTCTTGGCCTGCCTTCTGACCACCATCTACTTCAGTTCTTATACAGTTTGCCATTAGCTGATGGACTATATGAAATGTGAGAACAAAAAGATAACATTTCTATTTTGAATAATACATGGGATGAGCGTCTGCCTTCACTTCCACAAAAAGCAAATGAAAGGCTGCATAGTCTAGAAGTCAGATGACTGGACTCTGAGTTCTATTTCTGTTCTTCCCTTTCTTGCTGTCAGACTCTGAACAAGTCACTTAAACTCTCAGTTTTGGTTGGCCTCAATCTGCTTCTATTTAAGTCAATCCTAAAACTCCTATCAATTTCAATGAGAGCACAGTTAGTCCAACCATGAGCATGTTTGAAATTCTTACTTTAACATCTCTGTGCCCATTTCTAAAAGCAGGGATAATACCTACTTCAGAGGAATGTTGTGCAAATCAATTGTAAAAGCATTCTGAGCTGCACAGGTGGTGTGGGAGGAGGTATTGTTTCATATTCTCTGTGTATATATAAAGTCTGCTGCAGTTTCCACGGTATACATCTGATGAAGTGAGCTGTAGCTCACGAAAGCTCATGCTCAAATAAATTGGTTAGTCTCTAAGGTGCTACAAGTACTCCTTTTCTTTTTGCGAATACAGACTAACACGGCTGTTACTCTGAAACCTGAAATATAACTTTGTACTTCAAGTGTTTTATATACATAAATGACTAGAAACAGAATAAATTATTGGTTTTAGTTGTGCATTCTTACTATAAACAGCTCTTTCAATGTAGTAGTTTGTTTAGTATAACTTCTGTCCTGAATAAAACATGTCTTAAAACAACCTCCTGATAAGATCCACAACCACCAAGAGTTATGGAAGGGAATTTTTTTTTTTTTTTTGTGTTTGTGTGTTCTAAATTCATTGTTCAAGACACTGATTCCCTGTATTTTAGCTGTTACTGAACGTGAACAGCCTGTGTTCGGACGTATAAGTTTCAGATTCCAATCATCACCTGTTCATTATAGCCCCCATTAAATTAATTGGTTTTAGCCATGCTGGTCTTTTTAAACTTGTGCATTTCCATTTCCTGTGATCGCTGTAGAATCATTTAGAATCCTCCACTGCTCTCCTTTAAAGCAACTCCAACCTGGCTCCATTTTTACACACTAGGTGCTTGTGTGTGCTATTTTTACATGGGTAGTTTTGCACACTGTTGCTTGTGAAAGAATATCTTTAAGATAAAGTCCTTTTTCTGTGTACAGGTTTGTCAATAAACCCCTCCCTGATAGTATACATATGCAAATAATTTGCACAAGAAATTCTATAGTTTGAGCTCATAAGTGAGTGTGCACAAGTTTTGTGTAGTCACAGAGGCTAGCATGAGGGTCCCTGTCTTTTACTGCTAGCATTATTGTAAAAGTTCATTTAAAGTTTTTCACATTTCTTCAGGGGCAAAGCCTCCATGCACAACCCCCACTCAAGAACCATCCTTCATTCTTTCCTAGTAACCCACAGTCTTCCCACCACCTTATTTGGGAGTGTTGCTACTATTATAGGTGGAAATAAGTAATTGTCATGCCAACTCCCTGCCTTCAACACACACTCTCTCTATACTGCCAAAGCTCTACACTACCCCACGTTCTCTTATGGAAGCAAAATATATCAAATCCAGGTAAAGATTGTCTGGGCTGTCTTACCTTTTCCCCAAACGTAGTTTTACAAAAGAAAAATCAACAACTAAAAAATGTCAGATCTTCTCCTCTATTGTGATGGCCCTAGGGCTTTCTGGGTGATAGATGGCTTCTTGAAGTGCCTTTGTATTCTGGTGGCTTTAACACTATATCTGACATAACAGAATGAAAAGCTGGCAGTGTATCTCCTAAAAATAGTTGTGGAACAGTTTACAAATGTCTGATGCCTATTAAACATAAACAATTCACAGGTTTAGCTGCAGAAAACAGAGAGTGAATTTTTAGAAAGTGTGGAAGGAACTAGAATGCACGTCAGATCTAACTCAGACAAATAATTCTGTCACTGTTTGCTATGGAAGCATTCAATAATATTTATAAGACACTGGGGAAACAATAAAGTACAGACTCTAAATATGTAAGTCCTCATATCATAGCTCAGTCCTTCTTAACACCTTGTTTCCCAGTGCAACCTGTTCATTTCCTCACTGAGCAATTTACTTCCTATGTTAGAGCCCCATTCTTTTACAAAGAAAGATTAAGCGATATTTACTATTACATTTTATTTTTAAATCTCATAGTACACAATTGGAAGTATTCCAACAGACTGAGTTCAGAGTATGCATATAAATGGAGCCATCTTTGGATCCATCTTGTCTTCGAATGCAGGCCCAATTTTCAAATATGGGGTACTTTAGTAAACCCTATATTTGGATGTTCTCATTGATACTTAGGTATATCACATGTATTTGCATTTGGATTTCCTGTCCAAAAGAGAGACAAGGATGTCCACATTTTAAAACTGGGCCCCACCTCTGTTTTGCAGCTTTAATAATGACTCTCTTCTGCTTTGCGCGTTGTTTTTCTCAGCACCCTCAAGCTTGATTGTGGTAGCAATAAACTCGATTAATCTTTGCTTTACTGTGTTGGTCTTTTTCTGTGTTGAGTTTCTTCAGCCTGAACTTTTCTCCAGGCTGTGGCCTTCCATAGAGTAGCAGCTGGTTTACTGCCAGTGTCTAAATCTGTACAACTAAAAAAAAAGGTAGGCACATCAATATCTCCATTTGGCTTCTTACGTTGTCTCTAATTCATCTGGTAGGCACGGTAACAATGTAGAATCTAAGATCATCTGAAATTTGAATTCCCACTGTTGATTTGCATCCTTCTTCCATCTACATCTTCCTTTTTCTCCCCCCAGTATCAGAGCCCCATTGTACTTGGCCCTGCACAACCACGTAGTAACAGAGAGTTCCTGCGGTGATGTGTTTCTCATCCCTAGAGGCAATCTCTGTATGTTAAGGTTTGAGAGATGTTGGCAAATCAGCGTGGAGAAGGTTGAACTGCTTTTGCCCAGGTTGTATCTGACCTGTAAGTAAACAGGACTTTTAACTTCTGACATTTTTCACACGTACTAACATCATTTATTTTAGGGTGGGGGAAAAAATTCAGTATATTGCTGAATATAGTGGGGAGCGGTAAGAGAATCTAAGTGAGTAAAAGAACATATACAAAAATGTGTAGACAAAAAAGTGGCTGAATCTAGCTCTTTTTGGTTTGTGATCATGTGCCATGTGCTGTCTTGCAATAACAGCCTAGCCTGGATATGTATTCTTCAAAGCTCTACCCCAACAAAGGTAAAGATACAAAGGAGGTGGAGTTAACATTCATTTATGCATGTGAGAGGATTCATGAACACTTTATAGACAAAAATGTAGTGAGATCAGAACTCTTTGGATTATTTTTTTCCTTTGTGTCACAGTCCAATAAAATATGTGCATACAAATCCAGACAGGGTAGTCATAGAAAATTGTAAACTCCCTGGGATGAAGATGCATTTTTCTGTCTCATGCACACTGCTGTTAACAAGTGATAAATATTAGTAAGATGTACTGGCTATAGCTATACTTCATTAGACTGTGATTTTGTCAGCTCAAAGCTAACCAGTGTTGGATCTGGTCAGTTACTGGTAGGACCTCAAGTCAAAGCTAGGACGCCGTGTTTGTGATTTGGCGGACAAAACTCATCCCTAACACCCTCTGTCTATGCTAGCCCTTTTCCCTAAAATTTTCCACTGTTGCTATTCCACCAATGGGAGGCCTAGTGTACCAGCAATCATACCTACTTAAACCAGTGTATCTGACCTGGTGATTAGAATGCTAGTGGCCACTAGTGCCTAATCTACACTGATGCTCCTGCTGTTGTTGCCACTGGTCAAGGTTGGATGGTAAGAATGTTTACAAAAGGGACAGATTCCCTGATGTATTTCTGGCTCCTTTGGGCTTGTCTTCACTATGGGCTAAATTGGTGCTACTGCGATTGATGCAGCAGGCATTGATTTAGCCAGTCTGGTGAAGACATAATAAGTTGATGGGAGAATGCTCTATACACACATACTGTTATTAGCAAGAGTGTTGTAAGCAAGACACGAGAAGTAATTCTTCTGTTCTACTCCACACTGATTAGGCCTCTACTGGAGTATTGTGTCCAATTCTGGGTGCCGCATTTCAGGAAAGATATGGACAAACTGGAGAAAGTCCAGAGAAGAGCAACAAAAATGGTTAAAGGTCTAGAAAACATGACCTATGAGGGAAGATTGAGTCTGGAAAAGAGAAGACTGAGGGGGGACATAACAACCTTTTATGTACTTGAAAAACTGTTAGAAGGAAGGGGGGTGGAAATTGTTCTTCTGAACCTCTAAGGATAGGACAAGAAGCAATGGGCTTAAATTGCAGCAAGGGAGGTTTAGGTAGGACATTAGGAAAAAATTCCTAGCTGTCAGGGTGATTAAGCACTGGAATAAATTGCCTAGGGTTGTTGTGGAATCTCCATAATTGGAGATTTTTAAGAGCAGGTTAGACAAACACCTGTCAGGGATAGTCTAGATAATACTTAGTCCTGCCATGAGTGCAGGGGACTGGCCTAGATGACCTCTGGAGGTCCCTTCCAGTCTTATGAGTCTATGATTCACTTTAACAGCAAAAATATTTAATTTTCAAGTTTAACACTTTAGGCTTGAAAGTACAATGATAGCCCTTGATTTATCTCTTTTAAATACAGGATTCCTGTTTTCACTAACCAGTCACAATTCTTTGTTAAGATAAAGAGAGAATTTTGGTGAGATTAGTTTTAAATTGAAAAAGCATTATAGTCTTAATTGTGGGGTTTGAGGTGATTAGTAAAAATGTTTTGAAATACTGCAGGCAGATACCACGAAACAGCTGAGCTTCAAGTGTTTCATTAAGATTTCTTTTTTGTTTTGCTATTTATGAACTAACAGAGGGTTTATTGTGCCTGCTTCAGTTCAGAATTGTTAGTTCATTATAATGAGTTCATGGCTTTTTCTGGCACAGTTTGTTTTCTTAATACTGTTCTCATCCAACTGAAATTTACTGCTGAGGTAGAGTGAAATCCTAATCCCCCTGTGCTGGCCAGGTGTACACAGGAGATAGTTCAGAGTGATGGTTTGGGGGATAGAATCCTCCACTCTCCCTCCATCCCAAAACTCAGAAGCTGGTGGTGAAGAATCTGAGTAGCTGGACTGCTGTTGCTATAGCCCACTGGCCTGCTGTTCTCTTCCTATATCTGCTGCAGCTTTCCCCTCTGCAACACCTTTACTTCCTGTGCCCATCCAGCACACCCATAGCCTCCCATTCTGTGCTCCTGTGGGGAGAAATGCTGAAGAACGTAGTTCCATGGCACAAGGGCCTGCACAGGATCTCTGCATATCCCTTCCTCTTCCTGGCTCATTCATGTATGGTTCTGTTGCTTTAAATTTGTCCCATTCTTCTTCCTGGAGGTTTTAACCTATAGAGAATTTATTTAAATATATTTCACCTTCTGATAAGACATTCGAACAAGATTATCTTAAAACATCCTGACTCTTTCTGTTGTTATGCATGAGGATCCTTTATTAAAGTGTGTGTTTTTTCTTGTAACATTAGCACTGATTAAAAAAAATATATAAACTGCTTCACCCTGCCCATTAGCATATTGCTTCATAATCCTCTCAATATATTCCTGCATACACAGGCAGAAACTGCCAAAACAGGCTTCTGGGTTGGGAGGTTACTTGCATACAAGACCTAATTTAAGGCCTAATTAAAGAAGCATTTGTCTACTGTTGAATTATTCTTTCTAATTTTGATTTTTCTCCTATTACTTCATGCTATGTGAATAATGAACAGAGAAATAGGATCTTCCTGATTACTACTTCACCAAAATAGAAATAGTATAATATAATAAGAAAAGAATAGTAGTTTGGTGGATGACCTGCATCTGGCCACAGAATGAAAGTTCAGAGTCCGACTGTCTGACTGAATGCTTCTGAAGTAGGTGAACAACAAAACATTATTTGTTTAATCTTGAATTCAGAGAAGTACAGTAAAATTCACCACATAAGTTATTCATTGACTATATTTGTGAATTGTTCACCCAGCTCGAATAGATAACCTTTAAAAAACATTTTGTATTGATTTTTTTTTTAAAATCACATCTAGCAAGTCAGTAAACTGGGTGCAAGCAAACAATATGTATTTTAATACTGCTAAATGTATACATCTGGGAACAAAGAATGTAAGCCATACTTGCAGGGTGGGGGACTCTATTCTGGGAAGCAGTGACTGAAAAAGATTTGAGGTTGATGGTGGATAATAAGCTGAACATGAACTCCCACCGTGACTCTGTGACCAAAACAGCAAATGCGATCCTGGGATGTATAAAAAGGGGAATCTGGCCCTGGAAGAGTAGAGAGATTATTTTACCTCTGTATTTGGCACTGGTGTAACCACTGCTGGAAAATGGTCCCTTCTGGCCTTAGAATTTATGTATGTATCTAAGTCAGACATTATAGTCAGGGTGGAATTTTCCCTTTTATACTTAGAATCAGATCCTCAGCTGATGTAAATTTACATTGCTCCTTTGAAGTCCTGGCTAATCCTGTTAATAGCCTACACTTCTCTTGAGATACACATGCACCCAATCTGTTTTCCCACTCTTATTAAATTAACATGGAAACCTTTTTATAATGTAACTCAATATATTGTCAGCTGGGTTGATAGATGAGTTGACTGTGCAAAGTTAACGTTGGTATCTGTCCAATGTCAGACAAGTCATTAATGGGACAGTCTTTGTACTGAGTAAACTCCTATTCCCAACAAACACAACCTACAGTGCATAAATTGATTTGCTATCAGTACTCCATTTCTTGTTTTACATTTTAAGGCTTAAAACATCCAAACAATACAGTGTAAGTCTGGGATTTTCAGAGGAGCCTAATGGAGCTAGGAGACTGAATCACAGAATACCTGGGTACACCTAAAAATATTTAAATATACAGCTATGAATTATATATTTTAAAATAATTTCCTCCTGTATTTACCTGTAAGACTCAAATTCAGGTTTCCATGCTTTCCCTGCAAGAGTTGATGAGACACTTAAATCAGGGTGCAGAATTCAGCCTCTTGAACCACTTCAGGTGTCACTTGATCTTGCAGGACTGGAGTCTTTATTGGCAGATAGCAAAAACTTTTCAGGTTGCTTTTTAATATATGTTTGCAATGTTAAACAATTTAAGAACGTAATCAGTTTTTTATATATTTTAAAGCATCAGAGTACACTTTTATGCCCTGCTGTTGATCAAACTTGAGTTAAATGTATACTTAAACTAGGGATGCATTTGGCCCATTTATTTAATGCATTCTTTCAAGTGCAAAAATGTCTTATGAATACAAATCATACGGTCATGTTGTTCTTTGTGTGTATGGAATTATTCTTGTACTGATCTGTTTGCAAGGTCATATCCGTTTACCATTTGAATATACTATTTCCATGTTCCTCATCCACTGGGTTAGTTATCAGAGCTTTAGATGGCCTATGTGTTGTGTTATTTTAATTTGGTTTTATTTTATTCATACATATTAAATGTTATTGATCATATTCTGACAAGTGCTGTGCAAACAGATATCATTACTCAGTGTTAACATTTAGCAAAGGTGGTATTTGGATCCTGATTTACAAGGAAAGCTCAGTCCCCAAAAGGAGAAAAGGTATACTATTTTTCTGGGGGATGAAAAAACTTAAAGGGCCAGTTAGCAAGCCATAAAGTTATGCTAAAGAAAAATTGCTGTGTAAGGAATAGCTTTCACAGAAATATGAGCTATTTGTTAAATTGCAAGAGAGAGATGGAAGGGGTTGCAGGTACATAAAAACCTTTTCAAGAACTGACAGGGAAAAAAATCTCACATACTTTTTATAATTTCTTTGTGCTTCCAAGATGGAAGGCAGCCAGGGGCAACACAATGCAGAGGATGGTTCTCCCTCATAAAATTGTCTCCACAGATTCCCCACTCTTGCAATTCCTCTTGAGCCTCTTGAATTTACCCAACTGTCATTCTGTCAAGATTCATAGACTTTAAACCAAGAAGGGACATTATGATAACCTATACAGACAATAGAATTTCATCCTTAATTCCAATTTCACCCCCCATAATTTGTGTGATTAAAATCATATTTTTAAAATGGACATATAATCTTGATTTACAGATTTCAGTTGATGGAGAATCCCCCATGTCCCTTGGTAAGTTGTTCTAATGTTTAATTATCCTCAGGGATAAAATATGTGCCTGGTTTCCAGTCTAAATTTGTCTAATTTCAACTTCTGGCCACTGGATCTTATGTCTTCAACTGCTAAATTAAAGAGCTCTTTGGTACCAGATATCTTCTCGCTGTGTAGGTACTTGCAGACCATCATCAAATCACCTCTTAAACTTCTTTTCAATAATGTAGCAGATACATTAGCTGTCTTCATATCAACCACAGCACTGGCAGTATGGCTGCTGCTACTAGCAGTCTTTAAATGACTTTACAGCAGTGAGTCCAGCTGCTACCATTTTGACTAAAATATATATATTTAAAGGGGTGAAGAATTAATCTTAATATCTGCCCTAGTTCCTCTTTCTCAACTTCTTGGAAATCATTTATACCATTTTCCTCCTGGCGTGGGTATCCCATTCCTCCAGAATAACAAAGAAGGACGTAGACTTATAACATGCTACATTGCCAGTAGTTGTAGTTAATTGCTCAGTCTATGAACACTTATGGACATCAGTTGAAATAGTCCAAATGAGCAATACCAGGAATTGAATATCACATATATATGTCACGGTCAGTCTCACAACTGAAACTCTTCATTGACTGAATCTGGAAAATGTTAAGATGACTATGAACTTCATCCAACAGCAATATTTTTGCTGCTGTAATGAGATCACAGGAGGGGCAGCTCAACTGTTTTTGTCTCTCACTCTTTATCAAGAAAGAAATATTCTATTGGTAGCTATTGAAGGTGGTATTTTCCTCCAGCTGCTTGAGTTGGACTCAGTTACTGAGTAAATATTACATGCTATGTTTGTATAAAATACATAATCACACGTACATTCAGTGAAAATACATATGCATGTATTCAGTAAAAATGCCTGGTATGAAGCTATCTTTACTGGTTATTATCATCATTTATTTGTATTGAATTAATGCCCGGAGAGCCAGTCAGAGACTGGTGCCCCACTGTGGCTGGCATTGTGCACACGAGACAAAAAATGGTCCCTGCCTCAAAAGTGTTTCGGTCTAAGGCTCCAATCCTGCAAAGAATTATACATGTGCTTAACTTCACTCACTGCGAGTGGTTTTCTTAACTGCAATGGCGCTATCTGCAGTGCAAACATTTAAGCACATACAAAGGTCTTTGCAGGATCAGGCCTAAATATAAATACTCCAGAGTAGTGATGAGAAGCTTTCCCTCAGAATTGTATCTAAGATATCAGAAGAGCCTGTCAGATGTATGCTATGTAAAACACCTGAACACACATTTAACTAATTGTACATATATGAAGTATGGGGATTTAGATTTATAAACTAGGGAGAATAGCTGGTGAAAGACTAACATGCATAGTGTAATAAATAACTTGTGAGGCTAATGATTTGTCTTTCTTAGCACAGTTTTTCTTGCGAAAAGGTTTCACTTAATTTCATAGTAATAGGATTAGATGATTCAGGAAATTCAGAATATTGCTGTTCAACACAGGAGCCTTCTTTCTCTATATGGAGGTGCATACGCTCTATGTAGAGGGTATATGTTTTTAAAAGGACTGTGTGTTTATTATAATTTGCAATGTCTCCCTGAATCTGCATGGCCTCTGTCCATGTAATTCAAGGATCCTCCTTGTAAAGAAAGAAGCTTATCTTTCATTCTAGAAGTAATTAGTTGCAAGAGGAGCCAGAAACATTATAATATTCAGTTATATTTTGTTTTTCCAGCAAGAGAGTAGTAATTTGCAAGGCTGACAATCAAACCTCATTAACATTCACTGTCATCCGTGGTCTCTCAGACTAAAATTTCAATTGACTAGTGATTTTAGGCACCTTAATTTGAGGGTGACCTATCTGAAATGCTTTGAAGGAAACTGATTTTCAGAAGATAGAGAGTACTCATGCAACTGAAAATGAGGCCCTTCTTCTAAAGGCTCTCAAGTTGGGCACCCAAAATTAATAGTCAGTTCTGCAAATGTAGACTTCCCATCCACAGCATCTTCTCTGTTGGAGCAAACATTCAATTTTTCTGATGATGAAATCTGTAATTTAAGATTTGGGGTTTTTTTTATCTTGACTTTGCATGATAAACATCCGTTCATACTACACAAACCAGTGTCATTTTCCCCAAAGAATCATTGGACTTGTTTATAGCATAAATTGTTAGATAACTACCAAAGCACAAATCAAGTATTTCTGGTTGATATTAGTAGAAATCAGTTTTTCCTGATGTAACAGATTGTCCTATTCTGGTTGAACTTTAATACAGTCAGGCAGATGGCTGAAGAGCAAAGTATGTTGTTAATTATTTATTCAATGTGTTTGTTGATGGACCTCCATGCTTTACAGATTCTACATCACATGAAGAAAAAGTGAAAATTAATTTATATTACATACTTTTAAGAGTGTGGTTTAACTCTTCAGACAAATATCTCATCCTCAGTAAATTCCACTGATGTACAATGAGTATATTCATCCTGAGCACCACCTCACCCCCATCTACACTCCTTACAACAGTGACTTGGCTATGCTCCATTATAAATATAGCTCCTTCCTTCAACATAAGCTCTCTCCATTTTCTTAGATCTCTGCTAGCCCTCTGGCTGCCAACCTCATTAAACCCATCCTCACCAATCTGTTTTCAGCAGCTGGTCTACTTCTTTAGTAGAAAGCCACTGGGTGATTTTTGTGAAAATAAAAAAAAAATTACCATGTTTCCCCCCAAAAAAATTATTGAAAATTTTTGTTTAATGAAAACCACATTTTGGTCAATGAAAAATGTCAATGACCATTTCAATAACATTATTCAAACCTTTTTTTATTGAAAATGTCACCAAATTTTTGTACAAAATGGAACATTTTGACACCGCCAACAATTTCTTTGTGAAAAAAAGACCATTTCCCAACAAAAAATTAATTCATAAAATTTCAACTGAACTGTTGCCCCACAGTGCCTCCGGAAGCATATTCCACCTGAGTACCTGAGAAACTGGCACACTTCTCCAGGCTACACCTCAGCATTTGAGGCACAGGATCTAACAGTCCTCTTCTAGTTTAAATGGGAGGAACCTACTTGCAGGACATTCTCAAGGAAGTGCCCTCTGTGACGTTATTGACACAATCTGCAACTGTATAGATCACTGTTGCGACCACTGTTATATATTTGCAGCAAATATTGTATAAAGGTTGTTGTGCAAGGGGTCTATGGAGAGGTTATTGTTTTATGGTTATGATTATGCTGTCTATATGTGTGTATCATTTTTGTAGTTAAAGTTATGAATATTGGCTCTATACTGTCTCTATTTCAAACTTATGCTGCTTCTGGGTGACACCCCAGACAAGTTGGTGTCAGCTCTGCCTAGCCTGCTTGATGGCCCATTAAGGACCATCCGCTAGGCAGATACACCTTGTGACTCAGCAAGGCATGCAGGGACATGCCTATGAACAGAAGTCTGAGGTTTTTCCATGCCATGAGATGTATAGCTTGTCTTTGGGACAAGCTGCAGCATTCAATTATTTTGTTTCTGATGCTATCTCCATGTAAGAAAATATAGCCCAGCTTAGATGATTTCTGAGTGCTTTTCTGTTTTGCTCTTCACTGCAAGGGATGCAAAAGAAAAACAAGAGTCACAGGGGACTAAGAAATTATCACACTGCCAAAATAAGCAGTGAACTGCCAAAATAAGTGGTGAAAATTGTTTCCTAGATGTGTTTGTCCTTTTATTGGAACTGATTTTTAGAATATATGTTTGCTGGAGGAAATCTTGCTAGTTAAGGATGTCAGGCTGACACCCAGTGGGAGAGTTTCAAAATGTGGCATGGGGATATAGCCATCTAGTTCCTGTTGAATTAGAGTCTCACAGATAAAATTATATACCAAGTGTAGGAAACTTATCCCCTGATGGGCTAATTGCTTTGATAT